CTGCCGCCCGAGGCCCCGCGGACGGAGGACTCCCGGGCCTCGGCCCCGGGACCGAGGGCGGGCCGTACGGCACCTGCCGGGGCCTGGGCGGCCCTCACGTCGACGACCGCGGAGCCTCTGGTGCCTTCCAGGCCGTCGCCGTGGAGAACCGCGACCTCAGCGTTCTCCGCATCACAGTGGGGCCCGCCACCAGCCCGAGGCGACCCTCATCTGCTGCTTGCACCCCAGGACGGTTAAGTGGAAGGAACTGAGGGTCACCAGAAGCTGGACACTGAGGGGGCGTGCAGAGGGCTCCTTAGAAGGCCCGGGGGTCATCTCCCCTGCTCGTCCGCCGACGCCACCAGCTCGGGGTGTTGAGCGTTCGCTTTAGGGATTCAGCTCCTGATCGATTTGGGCACACTTACCCCGGACGGGCTCACAGGGAATGAGGTTCCCGCTCTCAGTTCCCGTCCCTGTGCCAGCTGTTGCGTTTAATCTTACCGTTTTCCTCTGGGCCTCTGATTCCTTAGGGGTGAGACCGCGGCCAAGCGGTTAGCAACCTGATTTTACAGTGTTCCCACCTTTCACACCGCCTCTGATCTAAAAATCACCCCGTATTTACACACTGGGGGTGGGAGTGCAAGATAGGTGCAAGTTCTGTCGGGGGCATTTTGCAAAAGTTCACCGAAGTTATGAAGGCAGAAATCCTTTAAATTTTTATAAAAATATCCTTCATATATATATATATATATACTCTTGCACATATGATGTGTGTGCCAGGTCGTTTGTAGATTAGATTGAAAAACACCTGCTCCTAGGGGGTGTAGTATATGCACACACCATGAAGCTGTGAACAGTGTGTCTTGTTTTCTATTGTATAAAAGGCTGGAAGAACATTCATATTTGCATGTATACGTATAAACGTGTTCGAAAAGATAGGCAGTAAAGTGGTAACTAGTGTCCTTTAGGGGAGCTGGTCTGTTGGGAGACAGGACGGGAGGGAGGTTCCCCCCCCCCGCCCCGTCTTTTTGTGCCTTTGGAACTTTTCATCATGTGGATTAATAATCTGTAAATTTAAAATGTGAAAATAATACTTGTTTCCTGGATGTGGATGCTCAAATTTCTTTCCCGTGATGGAGGGAACTTAATAAAAGAGACTTTGTTTACAATATGCCCACCCCTTTCCTGGGAATAGAAGATGGAGAAACTGCCAGCTAGAAAGCCCACACTGAGGAAACTAGTTCAGGCTCCTCCTCCTGTTTCCAGGGGTACAGTCCTAGCAAGTTTTGGGTCTTTAAGTCATGGGGACACTGTCCTTCCCATATCAGACTATTTCCAGTTATGTGGATATCTGACCCAATACCCTATAGCCCAAACTTATTTTGAATTCTTTAGGTCCATTCTGGAGGGCTGGGTCTGGGTGAGGTGAGTCAGCTTCTGTGCACCGCCTTGCCTTTATGGTTTGGACACCTGGGTGATTCATAGCTTCTGAAGGGTGTCAGTAAAGGAAAACGGAATTTGCTTTGGAACTCTCGATCAAGCACATAGAGTACAGGTTTAATCTCTAAACCAGCTAGGCAGAATTGCATGTTTGTACCACCAGTGCAGCAGACAGGAGGAATGTACCTCTCACTCACTGAATATAATCAAAGCAGGGCTGTTTTGAAATTTATCATTGTATTTGCACCCAGACCCAGGTAATGCCAAGGGCTAGTTCTCGCTGGACTGAGGACAGCAAATACTACAGCACACCTTTTCTAGGGGAGGTGGGCCTCCTTTGTCAGGTGACTTTGGGTCAGGGACGTCTCCCAGAGGACTTTGCTGAACTGGCTCCAATCTTATCTGTGATCTCAGGGAAAAGTCTTAGCCTTTTGCAACTCTTTTTCCTATGTGGAATGGGATAATGCTACCTATTTCACAGGTTTAAGGATAAAAAGATATGACATATGGAAAGTACAAAGTGTTATGCTCAATAAATGTTCTCTCGGATCCTCTCCCTGGTCCTGTCTACCGAAAAATGAGCACACACACTAGATTGCACCAGTGGCTGCTGGTCTCCGTATCTCCTCATGTAGGAAATGGATGGAGTTGGATCAGATGGGATACAAGTGGTTGCAAACTCAGATGCCTCCAGGGGCTTGGCACTGAGCACGGTGACCTAGGGAGCACACATCCCCCACGAAGGACACAGCTGTCACTTAGCCGCAGTTGATAGTTTCCACTGTGCAGGCCAGACAAACCATGTTTGTGAATGTTTGTGTGAATGTTTGCAGCCTGCAGGTCACCCGTTTGTGACTTCTATCAGCGCAAGTTGTTTTTTAAACTTAAAAACTTTGTTAAATATACTTAACACATATGCAAAAAAATAAAAAATAAAAAAAAAAATCGTGGTTTCAGGAACATCCAGGTACTCACCACCCAGTTAAACAGAAGCTACACTTGGGAAATGACCTGTGTCCCTCTCCTCCCCCGCTGTTCTCACCTCTTCAGAGGTGACCAGTTTTCTGTATTAACATTTCCTTTGAAATTTACCAGATTTATGTCTGAAAAACTTTTCATAAATGCAATCCGACCAGATGTATAATCAGTTGCTTCCCTCCTTCCCCCTAATTTTGAGGTTCAACTATTTTTCACTACTAAACAATGTTTCATTATATGAATAAACCAAGATTTGCTTTTCCATTCAAGTTTCGGACATTTGGCTTGTTTGCCGTATGTTGCTACTACACACAGCTGCCATGAACCTTTTGACACAAGCTGTTTCTCAAGGGTAGTGTTTTTCAAAGTGTGGGTAATGAATTATGAGACCATTTGGTCGGTCATAACCAGCATTTTTTAAATGAAGGGACCTAGGACGGACTTCAGGCACACCTCATTGTAAGGTGTTGCTTCATGAAACATTCCAATGTTCCAGCGTGTGACATCCTCCAAGCGTGTGCATGCACACTGGTCCCACGAGCCACATACAGTCCCAGCAGCAGCACCTACCGTGCTCCAGATCTGCGCCAACACAGTTTGAGGACTGCAACTTGTGCCACTCTGGTAAGAGTAAAATGACTTATTTTGGTTTTAATTTACATTTCCTTGATTACCACTTGAGGTTGAGTAATGTGTTTGTCAGCCTCACTGGCTTTTTAAAAAGGATTTATTCTCCCAGTTGTACAAACTTAACCTTGAAGTGAACCATTCTGTCCCTTGGGAGGACTTCCCTCTCACTGCCTATGTCAGCTGGGAGGTGACGCCTGCGGGCCATTCGCCCCCCACTCACCAGAACTCATCCCAGGTTGAGCACGACTAGTGAAGGCACAGAAAGGCATGCAGTAACCTCCTGACGAGATGCCCCGAGCAAGGCGTTTGAAAAGAAACTCCAAAGTAACACGCAGCAGACCTCTGATATTCACAAGGGATGTAGCCCAACGCCTTGAGAGTCTTCTAATTGTTAGATTGCACTACGGCATACTAATTTCTCTAACAAAATTCTGTGCAATAAGTAGAGAAATACAAGGCTGTACCGAGGAGCAGATGTCAGGGCTTCAGCGTGGCTCGCTCAAGGGCCTGCACGTCAGCCCATCGATGGCTGTGATTCAGATTTGTACCTCGGCAGAATCCGGTCTCACTTTCCCGGTTTTCATCCTTTGGAGCTATGTGCAAACAGCTGAGACCACACGTGTTACATCTCTGAACGCTAACTGTCTTCTGTACTTTCTTTTATTATCATCATAGTCTTTGCATCAAGATACATAGCAATGATAGCAGGTTTCTTTTTAAAGCTTAGTATTAAATATTAAATATCTTTCCCCATTTTAATTTTACATTACTCTGCCAAGAAAAAAAATTAAAACTCAAGTTATCCGGAGCCTGGACACACTGCCATGATTCGCGGGGCTACATCGAAGTTGGCGACCCTACTCTTCCTGCTGTGTGAGCAGGCCCAGGCTCTAGAAGGATGGGACCGGGTTTTTTTTTTTTTCTTTTTGAAAAGTGTGCTACAAAAACGGATGGCCTGTTATAAGCCAGGTTACAAAGTAAGGACGGGGGTCAGGGAGGGACATTTCCTTCCAGAAACAGAATTTCCGAAGAGTCCCAGTCCATCGTTTTTTTTCCCAAAATGGTTGGAGGAGGATAAAATCTCAACGTGAGCTTCGAAGTACTCTGTGAGGGGACGCAGTCGCCTTGCTGAGGAGGGGGCTGCAAGGAGGGGCACAGCTGAGTCAACCACCCGCCCTCCTCCGCCAGGAAATGGAAGGCTTGTTGCCAGGGGGCAGCAGGCTGGAGCTCGCTGGACCGAATCCCTAAGAGTTTCTCCTGCAAACAGACAACTCAGACTCTCCCTCTCACTGCAGCAAAGAAGTTATTCTTAAAAGCACTTGGGAGGTCCCTCGCCCGTCAGGTGGCCAGGCTCAGAGAAGGGAGTCGTCGGTGCAGCCACCTTCGAGGCCGTAGCGGAATTCCTGAAGGTTGGAGACCCCGTAGAAGTGGACGAAGGCTGCTGCCACCACCAGGACGTGGAAAATCTGATGAGACTGAAACTGCGGAAGGACAAGAGCAGAGCCCTCAGGACACGGCCAGGAGGGGTGGGCGCGAGGAGCGGCGCGCGCCTCTTCCGGTCCCTCCGTAAAAATTTTTATCACCTCAAAATGGTATCTTTACGGTAGAAAACTTTTTAAAAGTCCTGTCAGCAATGTACCAAAATGTTGCTATTGGTCACCCGCCGCCCCCCCACGCACACGTCTGCGCCCCAAACCCCAGGCCGGCCCGGCCCCGAGGTCTCGCGGGGCGGTCTCCTTACCCATATGTCGAACTTTCCAGGGAAGAAGCGCTCGGGGATTCGAGCGGCGTACAGACCGGCTCCGGTGATGTACATCACAGCCATGAGGAAGAACCAGCCCATCTGGCCCACCGTGGTGGCCTTGACGAAGCCCTCGGCGATGGTGAAGTGCATGGTGGGCACCACGCCACTCAAGCCCAGGCCCAGAAACACGCCTGTCGGGGCAGATGCAGGGCCGTCAAGGAGGAGGCAGCCACTGCCCCACTCTGGAGCCAAATGTCCACCACGAGCGCTACTTTCAGGCCAGGGAACTCGGCTCCGGGACGGAGCACGGCCACGGCCGGCACACGCGCCTCAGGCATCCGGCCGGGAAGGCCCGGCGAGAGCTGAGGCAGCGCCGCCCTCGAGGGGCGCCGAGAGCAAACAGGCCTCACGCCTCGCTTGTTAGGAAGCACAGGTGCACACGAAGTCAAAAGCCTCTGATGGCCGACCTGGGTACAGAAGCTAGATGGCAAGGCTTTAGGTGGTTTGCGAGCCAGGGAGGAGCAGGATGGTTTTCCCGTTCAGATCATAAAAGCCTGAGGTCACCAGGACTCTGACCCCGAGCAGGCAGACACGCCAGCTCAGAAGCTGTCCGTGGCTCTGGGACACACACGTAAGGGCAGAGGAAGGAAAGAACGGGCACCCGTCTCAATGCCACTGCACGCCACACGCCCGGAAGGCAGGGTCCGCCTTCTCCATTTTCACAGACACCCTGTGAGAGCACAGTGCCTGGCCCGTGCCCAGTGCTCCAGGAGGAGTCCGTCCCTTTATCTGGAGGGTAACACATGCCAGACACTGAAAAGTCTAAAGAGGTAACTGCTGTGTCACTGCAAGTGACAAAGCTTCAGGCGAGAGCCTCAGGATGTCCGCGCATCTCGGTGCAGGCTCCGCCAGCGCCTGCGTGAACGCTGCTCGAGGCCTGTGCCCTGTGAGATGGGGGTGCTGCTTTACTGCCGTCGGCGACGTGGGCCGCAGCAACACAGCCCAGGCACTCCGCTTTCAGCCCTGCTTCGCGTGCTTAGAGCTCAAGGCACTACAATGGCTGTGCTGTGTACGTTCCTGACTTTCTCAACCCAAACGGAAGAGGGGTCATCTCTCTGTTGCCGCTAACTGGCCAGCTTGGTATCTGAGTCCTATCAGGGTTCTACTGAGATAGTACGACACTTCAGGGGGAGTGAGCTCTGAAAATCCACGCTGTTCCGAATGCGCTAAACACGAACCAGGGCCTGGGTGGGGTCCGCCAACTGAAACCTGAGGGCCTGGGGTCCAGCCTATCAGGCTCGAGGTCCAAATACCTGTAAGGTTACACTGTCCCCCTACCCACCTGCTCTCGTCTGCCGGTGTTTGGGGGTGGCAAACCGGTCCCACTGTGCCACAATGATGGCGGAAATGCCCAGGACACAGACGATGGAGAGGTAGATGAGCCGGGGCTGCGGGGAGCAGTAGAAGGAATAGTAGAGCCAGGGCACAAAGCTCCCCATGATCAGCAGAGCGATCCCCGAATAGTCCAGCCTGGAAGAGACCATGGGAACGGGCACGTGGAAGGGTGGGAGAAGTGAGGAAGTCTTACGCTCGATTAACTGCTTCTTTCTGTTCTTCACCTACTGCCAGTTGTGACCATCCCCAGTGCCCCCTGCTTCCCACATGCCTTACATACAGCCTACATCCCGGGTCGAAACTCCACAAGGGCAGGCACTTCTAGCGTGCAGTGGAAATGGTTCTAAGATCCCCACTCACGGGACTTCCTCTCCCTCCCTCGGAGGTGAAGGGCCACATCCCCAGCGGGCACTTAACTCGGGAGCTGTCGTAAGCCCGCGGCACCTGCTTACACTCAGGAGGGCTCTGGAAGGCCACGTTCTAAATAGCGAACTTTTCAGCTGGGAGTATTTTTAAGGGGCACGGTTCTGTTCTGACTTTTTAACCGATAAAAACGTGTCCCTGTTACTGGTGTTACTGGAAAAACAAAGTCATCCGCCAGCACCACCAACACCAACAATCACAACAAAACAAGCACGCAGATGGCACTCCCAGCTTGGAGCTGGGGGCGATGGAAAGCCCTAGATGAAGGACCTCTGTGGCCCCAGCGAGGCGTGGGTGGCCGAGATAAGTACGACCCGGCGGGACCCAGCGGAGCACACGACACGCCCTGCCTGGCTTAGGCCGACAAGAAGGTAAGATGGCAAGGGGACGTGGCCTTGGAAAGCAGCCCGTGGACACTTCCGAGTTCCACATGGAGCAGAAACACACCCCACAGCTGGGCTCCGGGAATTTTCTGTGAGGGGTTTAAGGGAAAAGCTCCATCGCCCCACGGCACCCACGAGATCGAGAGCCTGTCCTCCGCCACGGCGCGGCAGCACGAGGAGTCACTGGGGCCCCAGTGCTCAGTAGCACGGGGGGCACGAGATGAGACAGCACCGCGCGCATCTGCCCTACTGACGTCCTCCCATCTCACTTGGAAAAGGTCCGCGAGACTTTCTCCGAGTGACAGTAGACGGTGTGGAAGAGCCAGGAGAAGCTGAGGCACAGCACCGCTCCCAGGAAGAACATCCCGAAGACCACCTTCTCCTGCAGCGGGGCCATGAAGTACATGTTCGGCCTCAGCATGGTCAAGATCCCCAGAAAGAGAAACAGCACGAAACCTGGAGGGACCAAGAGGGGACAGGGAGCGCGTGGTGACGCGGATGGCGCCAGAGCCGCACTAAAACCGCAGGGCCCAGCTGTGGGGACCGTGGCCTGCACTCCAGGGAAAATGGCACCTGTCGCACAGACCCAAATGAGACCGTTTCAAAATGCTGGCATTTTGCTGTGGGAATTTACGAAAAAGAAGTGTCGCCACGCAGGTCCCGCTTCTCCGGTGTCGGTCCCGCTCCTCCGGTGTCCGCCCCGCCCCCCCGCCGCCCATGGTCTTAAAGATCAGTGCCAAGAGTCAACCAAGCTCACACGAGGCCAGCGACCACTCCATCAGGACGACTTGTCCCTCTTCCTCCCGGGACAAAGGCTGTCCGACCCCTGGCCCCGCAGCGGGCAAGGGGACGGCACTTCCCTCCGTGTCGCTCACCGAGCAGATGGGTCCAGATGTTGCCAGTCTCTGTGTGGATGCGGAAGATGCTCTTGAAGCAAGCTCGGAAGGACGGCATGGGTGGCCGGTGGCCGTGCAGCAGGTAGTCGTTGTCCTTCAGCCAGTCCGGGAGCACGTCGTATGGGATGACCCTCCAGCGCCCTTCCCAGACCTAGAGCACAGGCGACCCTTGAACACATGCTGTGAACTGCACGTCCACTTACACACAGATTTTGTGCAGTAAACGTGCAGTTGGCCCTTCATATTCACAGGTGTCACAGCCACGGATTCCGCCGACCCCAGATGCAGGGGCCGACTGCACGCACTGACCTACACCACTCCAGGCAAGGGGCCCGAACACCCTGTGGGGGCCCTGGGACTAAGCCCCCGCAGATACCACGGGGTGACTGACACTTCTGGGGAGTCCAAAGTTACCAACGGGTTCTCGACTGTGCAGGTGCTGGTGGCCCTCACTCTGTGTGGTCCGACAGCCAGCTACACATGCATTCTCTGCTAGCAGGGCCCTCAATAACGCGAGCCTTCCCAAGGAAGAGGCCTGGCAAGGGTCACACTGGGAGAGCATCGGCCACGCTGTGGATGGCTCAGGTCACGTGGAGACCAGCCTGGCCCTGGGCAGAGCCAAGACAGAGCACGGATGAGCCTGTCACGGCGCCGATCCGTATCCTCAGCACTTTTCTTAAATCCTTTGTCCTTGTGTCAGTTTATCTGAATATACTTCAGCGAAAGTATTTAATGAAAATACGGTAGGACCTCCTTGAAATTTCAAAATTCAGTAAATACAGTAAAGGAAAAGAAATAGAAATTGTATATGCGGCTTTTTAAAATCATACATTTTAGCCCCACTTTGCCCCTCTCTTCCAGGAGATTTTGGCTGCCCCCTGCTCTAAACCCCTTCCCATTAGATTCTAAATTCTTACTGGGTCGTACTGTGCTTTTAGAGCAGGGGTTCTTACCCTAGGGGGTACATGGACAGTGACAGAATCCGGGGAGTAGATGGAAATTCGGATGGAAAAAAAATTATCTGCATGTTCGCTCGCCTTTAACTAAAATTTAACATTTCCCTCAATTACACATGTGAGCAACAAACCATAGTATTAGAACTTGTGACTCTGTCCCTAAGAGAAATCACAGATATTTTCATACATTAGTTTTGCAGATACTGAAATAGTTTGTACTCATCACTACTTAGAACTTACAAATTTTAATAAAATATGTTATAGCTTGTCATTAATGCATGTTTAATTTATTAATAAAGGAGCTCGTATTATGAGATCACATTTCAACGTTCTAATGATCGTCAAAGGGATCGATAGCAAACAATTTAAGAACTCCTGGTTTAGAATATATTTTGAGCGACGCCTAGCACATTAGTCAGGAAGAACTTAGCTGGCTTCCCCCGGACTCACTCAAGCAGAAACACGCCCCACGCGTGCGCACAGGTGCGAGGCTGCTCCGCCCGGTGCCCGCTGGCCGCGGGGGCGCCCCGAAGCCCGCCGCCCCGCCCACCCCGGGACGGAGGCTCCCTGGCTGCACCTTGTACACGAACTCCTCCATCTTCTCCATGGCATGGTGGGCTTGCAGGGGAAGTGTCAGGACCCG